TCATGCAATCTAATATTAATGAATGAAATTATTATTATGTTTTGAATTTTTTTTATTTTAATATTTTTTAATGAACTTTTTCCAGATTACCTGGGGTCTTGTATTAGCAAAAATAGAGTTTGATGATACAACACAAGGTATAAAAAGCCCTTCAAAAAACTGTGAGGCATAATGATCGTTTGATTCAAGTTAACAAAACAGTCCTACTGTCTTCAAATTAATATTAGCACATTCAAATTATGACACCAACATTGGACAATAGGAAAATGTATTGTCAATAAATATGAAGATAGTTTAGTACTTCAAAATGCAAAATTTAGCACATACTGAACTTATGAAGATAGTTGAGTGCTTATGAATCAATGTAGTACGGATTAAAACAAGTTCAAAATGATAATACTTTGGCACTTACAAGGTTCCAACAAAATAGACAAATTAAAACATTCAGTTCAGTTCAAAATATTATTTTTTGTTAAATTCAAGAGACATATTTTATTTCATTCCAACATGGAGTACAAAAGACAAAGGCTTTGGCATCCTAAATATTCTATTCTACAAAGATTGAATGCGGCAACCAGTAACACATCAAACTAAACAATCAAACTGATAATAACCAAACTAAACAATAATCAAAAGTTGAACAAAATACTCTTATCAACAATCAAACTGAACATTTTTTGAATCTTCATCCCTACAAACATTCCAGCTAACAACACAGATGGCATAGCACTTGCTCCAACATCACTTTCATCAACACACGAACTTGAAGATTGTTCTTCACTGTAAACGTTTTCTTTTTGGAATTCATTAAATATTGCTACTACTTCATCATAAGATTTGTAAGACTTGAAGATGCTTCCTTTGAAACCTATAACCATAGGAACACACTCACACCAAGAGTTGTATAATCCTGGCTTTTTACCACGAAATACCATATATACCTTCGATGCCGATATATTATCAGCTTGAGATCCATTTCTAAACTCAATAAAAGTTGTTATAGCTTCATCATAAGTTTTGAAGGCCTTGAAGATGCTGTCCTTGACACCAATAACCATAGGAGCACACTGATGCCAAGAGTTGTACAATCCATGCCTCTTACCACGAAACACTACATAAACTTTCGAAGCATTATTCCTCTTCCCGTGGTCCATTCCTTAATCTAACCCTAAGAAGTATAAGAGATGAAGAAGGAGAAAACAAATATAGAAAAATGGGGGCTGAAAAAGCTTTTTAGGTTTGACCAAATATATTAAGTGTTTAGGGTTAGAAAGTGACCACTTTAATCATAAATATCAGTAGTTTAATTTTTATACGTATTCCCTCTAATTTTTATACGTATTTCCTCTAATATATTATCTATATATTTTAGTGTATTTCGATTAATTGGTATAGTATATGTATATTTTAGTGTATTTCGTTTAATTAGTATAGTATGTGTATATGTGCTTTATTAAAAATGATGAAGCATGCATCTGAAAGGTAAGACAATTAAATTAGTGAGAGAGAGAATTGTTGAAAAATTTAAGTTAAAACGAAAAATCTGCTAAAGGGTATATATGGAAAACAAAAATGCACAAATATCCATTATGCCCTCAAAAGCCGTGCGAAGTTACCATTATACCCCTATTCTGGACATTTGGGCCATTCTTGATTTGTTCAAATATATTTTCCGATTAAAATTACATATAGTATTTCTTTGGTTAAAGAATATCCTCAAGTTATTGATAAATAGAGAAACCGAAAAAGACGTGCAACTTTGTAAGAGCAACCGCCCTAACTGTCGGTTTGAATTGGAATTAGAAGAGTTGACCAATTATATGATACTTACTTAGATATTATTCTCAAATAAATAACTTCATTATCACTCAATTAATAATTAATCCATACTTAATTACTTATCCCTACTGATGGTTGCTTATTGACTCACAAAAGCTTACTATTATTCGTTTAGTTTAATTAAAAGTTATTTCAAATCCGTTTACTTCTGATTTATATTCCCTCCGGTTCACAATAAGTGTTCAGTTTGCTTTTAGCACACCCATTAAGAAAATACTAAATTCTATACAAAAATAGTTATTATGACTAAACTACCCCTAATTAAACATTTAACGTATGGAGTAAGAAAACTTTTTAGGGATATATACATAGGGGTTATTTTGTAAAAACAAATTGAATTCTTTCTTGATTACATAACTGAACACTTATTTTGAACCAAAATGAAAAAGCAAATTGGCCACTTATTGTGAACAGTAGGGAGTATTACTTTTCAAGTATAATCTTCTATGGCGCTAACTTTTTTGACATAATTAATAGGAGACAACAGAATGTCTAAACTCAACGGGACAAATATTGCCATTAACATTTCAGTCGTGGAACTACACTTATTGTGACATAATTAAGAGAAGATTATAAAAAGTTAAATGGATAAATATTATTCTCTTCGGTCCACAATAAGTGATTAATTTGCTTTTTTATTTTGATCCAAAATAAGTATCCATTTATATAATCAAGAAAAAATTCAATTTATTATTCAAAATTACCCTTATGTACGTATAAGTGATTTTCTCCTCACATTTGAGAAGAGAAGTAAGTACTACTATAATTATGGTGCAACATTTTGGACCCTTTTGGCCATAGATTTTACCAAAATAAACTTGGATTTTATTTTTCAAACTCATGTTTGCCATAGATTTTGCCTATATTTTGGCAAAATTCCAAATCCCAAAACCAGCTCAATAGCTAGTTTTGGGCCAAAATCTTTACAAACACTAAGAATATACATATTTTTTCAAAATAAATTTGGGAAATATGTTTTGAAAAAATATGTCCAAACCAAACTTCACCCAAATCAGATTTTTCAAAACAAATTTGGAATCTATGGCCAAATGCTAGCTTAATGAAGAGTAGTTTAGTAATACTAACTATTTTTGTCTAGAATTTAGCATTTTCTTAATGGGTGTGCCAAAAGCAAATTGGGCACTTATTGTGGATCGGAGGGAGTAGTAGAAAATCTTCGCAGAATTACAATATTTCTGACCTTTTAATTATTAAAAAAAAAAACAGTATCGTAGCCACATACATTAAAGGGTGGTCAACCGAACACCCTTCATCGAAAAATTATACTTTGTATATAGAAACTTATATTGTGTACATAAGTCAAAAATTATTTTTTATAGGTGTATATTAAATTTTGAACATTTTTCGCGAAATTTTTGACTTCGCCAAAGTTTATTTTTGGGCCAAAAATTTTCACCACTATCTAAGACTGTCAAAAGAAATTGAACATAATTGTTGCAACTGTTCATTCCTGAATTTCACAAATCATAAATGTCGTCACACGAGAATAGGTGGAGGACTTATTAAAGGCATATCTGGAGAAGAGAGAAAATGAGGGAGCTAATGTGCTTGCTTGTGTAGGCGAGGATCGCTTGGCTAGGGCGCGCCAGAGGAACTGAAAGCCATTTGACTCTAAGGAGAGGAGCTTCGAATGACTTTTTTCTTTTCTTTTCAAAATTAAGGTATTTGGTCAAGCTTTCGGAAGAAAAAAAGAATTTTTGAATAGAAGTAGAAACAATTTTTGAGAAGCAGAAAAAAGTACCTTCTTTCCGAAGGCACTTTTAAAAAAATACATTTAGAAATATTTTTTAAAAGCTTGATCAAACAGTAATTATTGATCAAAAATATTTTTCAAAAGTGCCAAATAAAATTACTTCTTATCAAAAATAATTTTTTTAAAATTACTTTTAAATTATGTTAAGACGAAATGGTCTCGTGGCCACTTAAACTTGTACCGGATTTTAAAACCGATACACGAACTTACATTGTTCTCATTTGAACATTCAAACTCACGTATCCGATAACTAATAAAGTTATTTGACCGTCGACCATGCACATGTAGCAGCGACAAAGATGGTGTGGACAAGGTGTGTGCAAGTCACAAAAATTACGTGCGTGACTACAATAGTTTTGATTTAAAAAATCTAAAACCAGAAAAAAATACAAATTAAAAAGAAAGAAAATAAATCAGACTCACTTCCTCATCCCCGCAAAATTCTCTTCACCCCCTGTGTTCTTTCCAATTCTAAATATTAATTCCCAGAGCTTCATCCACCACCTCAACATCCCCGTATCCTATCTTCTCACATATTCTCTCCACCGTCTTATCAAACACCGCCACCACATTCACCACCGTTTTAGCAAAAGCTTCAATAAACAAACATCCATTACTCTTCGCGAATTCCTCGCCTTCCTCTGCACTAATAGCCCTAATATTTTCTCAGGTGTCACACTTGTTCCCCATCACTATTACTGTTGTGTTGTCTTGTTGTTGTATATCTTCAAGCCAACTCGACAGCCGCTCGAAAGTGTGCCTTTTAGTCACATCGTAAACAAGCAAAGCTCCTGCGGCGTCTCTATAATATGCCCTCGTAATTGATCGGAATTTCTCTTGTCCCGCCGTGTCCCATATTTGAAGCTTGATTAGAAGTGAAAATGGAATGAATTTTATGAAAGTTTGTTGATTGAGCATATTGTCAAGTGATGGCTGAGATCTTTCTCACAATGGTGGCGATAAAAGGTGCCGAAGGAATAATGAAAGAAATAAAATAAGAAATAAATTTTAATAAATTAATTATAAAAAAATGGGATCCACTGATGACACGTGTAAAATAATAAATGATCTTAGTACTTTATGTGTGTTTTTTTTGTCAGGCAATTGAGCTATACACTCTGACGAAGGAGTTTATTTATAATCAACTGATTGAGTTGAGATGCTAAAATGAAAAAGTTAAAAATTTATATAACAACTTTAAAATTCGGTATAAATTTAATTGATGAGGAGGTCATTTCGCCTTACGTTAATTTTAAAAGTTTGGCTTAAACCTACGCCAACCATAAGGGACCATTCTTGTGAAAACCCAATAGAAAATCTCCCGTGAAAAAGGAAAACAGAAAAGTCTAAAATAAGAAAGGAGAAAAAAAACAAATACTACTCTTTTTCCAAAAAAAGTAAAAAATCAGAGACCAAAAGCTTGCAATCTTGAGATCCAGTTGACGACAAGTACACGTCTGCACACACACTTGGAAGTTGGAATCTCAATAATTTAGTTGAATTCAGATCAAAAGTCACAACTCACACACCAATAATTTTTTCCCCCAAAAAGAATCAATACTTATAAAGCATCCAATATAAAAATCATGGAAATCTCTCCTCAAATTTTGTAACAATTGATCCAAAACAAGACCAGAAAATGGCATATCTTGGCTCGTTGAAGCAAAGCTTTGTTGAAACAAACAAAGAAAGAATATTACTACCCAGAAAAGGGTATTCAGAATTGGGAGTAGGTGGTGGTGCATCTTTCACAGGAAATGAGAACTTTCTGGAACGTTTACGCTATCGGCTTACTGAGTTTTGTAACGATGTCAAAAAAGCTGCAGCAAAAGCAGTTAAAATGGGTAGAAGTGATCCTAGGAAAATTATATTTTCTGCTAAAGTGGGTTTTGCTCTTGCTCTTGTTTCGATCCTTATTTTCTTCAAAGAACCCTTGCCTTATATTGGTAAACACTCCATTTGGGCAATTCTCACTGTTGTCGTCGTTTTTGAATTCAGTATAGGTATGTAAAATTTTCGTTTTTTATGCCTCAAGTTTGTAGCTTTGTTATGTTTTTATTGCTAATTTTAGAATTTGTTAATGTAAAGGTGCGACGCTCAGTAAAGGATTTAACAGGGCATTGGGAACGTTTTCTGCTGGAGGGTTAGCTCTGGGCATTGCTGAATTGTCTCTTATGGCTGGAAAATGCCAAGAGGTTGTGATTGTCATCAGCGTATTTATTGCAGGTTTAGTTTCTATTTCCGTATTCGGTACAGTATTTGGTTTAAGGTTGTAGAATTTTCGTAGTCGTTATTTAAAAAAAATAAAAAAATAAAATACACTATACGGAAATACATACTTACATATGCAGTACACATATGCAGAGGCGGATGCAGTGTGAGAGTTACGGGTTCAATTGAACCCATAACTTTCAACGTGGAGTAGAAATTTATCTGTAAAAATTCATTAAAATTGTAAAAATAATAGATTTGAACCCATAACTTTCAACGTGGAGTAGAAATTTATCTGTAAAAATTCATTAAAATTGTAAAAATAATAGATTTGAACCCATAACTTTAAATATATAATGGGTTCAATATTAAAAATCTTAAAAATTGAACCCATAAAATTTAAATCCTGGATTCGCCTCTCCACATATGGTATTGGATTATAACATAAGTATAAAAGGCACAATTTGAGAAGCTTGCTAGTGTGAAGTAACTGTATAAATGTTGCCATAATTTCTTTTTTTTTGTGTGTGTGTTTTTAATCAATCAAGTTAACATTTTCAGTAGGTTGTACTGAGTGCAGCAGTGCATTTGTTTCCCTTTGGCTGAAAGGAAAATAGCGGAGAGGTCATAAGTTACAGGACATATTAGTATTGCTTGTTTGATATTACTAGAGTCTACCCCGCATCAAATTTGAGAAATGGAGGATTGTGGTGATCTGTGTGCTTTGAAGTGACCTTCATAGTTCAAAGTATACACTGAAACGAACTTTATGGACAAACATTTCCCTGATACATATTTGGTGAAGATTTCTTATGGTTTCTTTCGGTTTTGCCATTGACCCGCCCCTTAAAAACAAAAAAGTTATAATTCTTTATTCAAGCCGAATACAAACCACAGTTACTGAACTGAATAAACTGAAACCGAAAAGACAAAAATTGGATCATACCGAACCGAATGCTGAATAGCATTTTAAGGAATCGAATACTGGAAATATCGAACCGAAATATTTCAAAACCGTACCAAACCGACCAATGAACAACCCCAATTAGAAGAATTTCGAAATATAGGTGATTAGGAGAAAAATAGAGCAAGGAAAGATATAGAGAGAGCCTTGCAAACTGGTAACTGGGTGACATGAGCACCTAAAACACCAAAGAAGCAACTACAGCTTCAACTTTCACTCTGTAGACCAAAGCATAATTCTCCACTCTTGAATTGAGTGAACCTATTGATATATATATATGCCCCTCGACTTCCAACTTAGTAAAAGAAAAATCAATCATTTCAGTACCCTTGACAGAATGCTTAGGTTCAATATCTTACTGAAGAACATTGCATATTAGATTTGAAGACAAATAGACAATCACACATATACAACGGTTCAAGTAACAACAACAACAATAACAACATACCCAATATTATCCTACACCGTGGGACAATGGTTCAAGTAAAGGAAAGGTTTTTCAGTTTTCTTCTGTGTTGCGCGGACTCTCCAAAACAGCTGTCGCACCCGTGTCGGATCCTCCAAAAATATACTCGTTTTGGAGGATCCGATACGCACCCATCGATATTTTCGGAGAGTCCGAGCAACATAGATTTTCTTCACCTCCACGTACCTTGTGCATCAACATCACAGCAACAATCACCATCTTTCTTTTTTACCTTGTATAAGGGTTAAGTGGGCCATTGACGGGAAGAGTTTGCTTGGCTACTACACGAGACAAAAGCTAGTAAAGCCATTTACTAAATATGTTCCAAGGCTCATACATATATGATATCCTGATCTTCGATATCTCCCGCTCGTTACCATGACAGCTCTCTCTCTCCTTTATCCTTTTCTGGGGTGGAAATATGTGTGTATATATATTTCCGGGGAAATTCACTTTTGTACTACTCTAATCATTACATTTTCCTCTTTCATTCAGGATTTTGTGCGACTTATTTGAAACTGTATCCAGCAATGAAGCAATATGAATATGGATTCCGAGTCTTCTTATTGACATATTGTATAGTGCTAGTATCGGGGACTTCAGATTTTGTTCAGACCGCTGTTTCTCGATTGTTGCTAATTGGGGTTGGAGCTACTGTCTGTTTGCTTATAAATGTCTGCATCTATCCCATTTGGGCTGGTGAAGATTTGCACAAATTGGTGGCGAAAAATTTTAAGGGTGTCGCTACTTCTTTGGAAGGTGGAGATTCTTTAATCTCATTTCTTCAGATTGTCGTCGGACATGTCCTAGACATGCTATGCTCGGCTGATATCTGCAATGCTTCTTTTTCAGGTTGTGTCAATGACTATTTGCAATGTCTTGAATACGAAAGGATACCATCAAAAATTCTTCTTTACCAGGCATCCGATGATCCTGTCTACAATGGTTATAGGACTGCTGTAGAGTCCACCAACCAAGAAGATTCTCTGGTAAACCCATGTTGCTATTGATGCTTATAATAACATAAATATGTGGTATTTCCTCCATTCCAAATTGAATGGCCTATTCTGCACTATATTATATTAAAGTCTGAAAGTGTATGTTCAACATTAAATGGTGTGGAGGCTGGTAACTTTTGTGTATTAAAGAAATTGAAAAATAAGGTAGCACACATGTGACTTATAGTGGAGCTTTACCTTATTTTGGATGGAAAGAGAAAAAAAAATTGTATGTGGACATTCATGTGGGTTTGGTGGAACATCACCTATTTTCTTGGGTTGCTAATTTTGGTAATCCTGGTTCAGTTAGGTTTTGCTGTGTGGGAACCCCCTCATGGCCGTTACAGAATGCTCAATTATCCTTGGGGTGAATACGTTAAAGTCAGCGGTGCACTGAGGCATTGTGCTTTCACAGTCATGGCTATGCATGGCTGTATTCTTTCAGAAATACAGGTATAACTTTTTCTAATTTTTCTTCCTGACTTGGCCTAAAGCAATGTGCAGCACAGAATTTTTTTTATTCCATAAATTTGAAGCCTATCTCACATCTGCCACTTTTTCTTTCTTCGTTTTTACTTTGATATGGAACTAGGCAGCTTATGAATAATGAATAGAAGTATTTTAGATGCATAGGAGAGAAGTACTTAAAGTAATCAGCATTCTAGACCTATAAAGTTCCATGTAACCATGATTAGGGAATAGTAAATACATAGGAACTATGCTTAAGTTAGTATCTGTCAAGGGGTTTTTAACTCTTTCTCTTGGTCAAACATGAAAGAGGCGCGCATAAGTATTTATTGTAATTTTTTACCAGACGAAAATCAAACTGATTTGTCAGTACCAAATATTCACATTGTTGGCATGTCTCATTTGTTAACTAACCTATTTGGGGCTAAGAACTCAACCATGGAACTGCAGTTCCAGCCAGCTATTTCGTAAATTATTCAGAGTTTACTCCAGTTTTTATAATTTTACAGAGTAGTCAAATATTGACCATAAGTTTTTTCGTGCCATTCATAATGGTTAATGCCATGCCACTGGATTGTTCAATAAATAAGTTAAAAATTTACTTGCTACTTTAGAAGCCCATCTCAGATACATATATCACTCGAGGTGCACATAAAACTTGAAGTTAGTCAACGCTTAAGTTGGACCTCTTTAAGAGGGAGCACTAGCTGGAATATAAATAGAATCTTTTTCCTCTTAAGGTGGAAGAAAAAAAGAAAATGTAGAGGAGGGATAGAATCACTACACTATCACGGCCAACTATACCAAATCCTTAATTTAAGGATATGTGTAATGCTATTTATGGAATTACACAAATGGTAATAAATAAGTTACTTTATTTGAATCTTGGGCGAATAGAGGGAATCGAACCCGCAAAGCAACGTGATACGTAAACATTAAAAAAAGAAGAAGAAGATATGAATGAATGTTTTAATGACGGGGAATAATAAATTAGAAATTTTGCATAAGAATACCAGTCACTCAAAACTGAGAACTACATCTTGACATCCAAACTAGAAATTTGAAATGGTTGAACTTTTTTTTACATTACATATATAATTTTTCTTTTTTCTTCATTAGCGCCTTTCTTCACTAAAGCCAATGCTGAATTTGCACTTTGTACTTAATGCCCCATGGTCATTGGAGCTTTTCGCCTTTGATAACTTTGGTTTTCAATTCGGTTATCATTTCTAAATGCCAGCTTAACTGAGTACCCTTGCATTTTGGCTGTAACTTTCCCTTCTTTTATTACTTATGCAATTTTTCTTTTTTGCAAATAACCTATCCTAAAAATGTTGAGATGATTTTTGTCCACTAGTGTCATCCTTTTTGCTAGCGAAACAGTTTGAAGGCAGCTTCTAAAGAAGCATTTATACACAAAATATATTAATGTCAGCTTTTAACGTAGGTAGCTTGACACAAAAAATTCTTCTAGCACATGGTGGCAGTTCACCTAGTGCTCTAGTCTTGAAGGAGTTTTGCATTATTTAATGTTACTTCAGACAAATAAAATGTTCTCTTCAAAGATATCAAACTGAAGTTATCTTGTAAACAATTTCTTGGTTATCTACTTAATAGACATACCATATATGTTTATATCCATTGAGATATCTTTTCCTCTTAATGAACTAAAAATACAAGAATCCTTGCCTGCTAATCGGTGACAGATAGCTGCATAAAATGTACGACAGGAAACTGATCTTGGAGCTATTATTGCCTGTTTGCACTTGTTATGATACTGTCCTTGATTACTAAATCAAAAAGATTAAGAATTTATGCTTTAGGGGTTGAGTGGTCACTGCTTCATGCAATTTTTCTTCTTGTAGGCAGCATCTGAGTTGAGGCAGGTTTTTAGGAAGCAGATTCAGAGAGTTGGGACTGAAGGAGCTAAAGTGATACGGCAGCTTGGAGAGAAAGTAGAAAAGATGGAGAAACTATTCCCTGGAGATCCTCTCGAAGAAGTTCATGAGGCTGCGGAGAATCTTCAACTGTTGATTGACCAGAAATCTTATCTTTTGGTTAATGCAGAGAATTGGGAAAGTTCAAAAAGACCTAAGAAGTTTGAAGATCCTGAACGCATTCAAGAACTGAAGGACAATGAACCTAAACCCATGCTAATAAACTCTCTTAGTGAAGCAACTCTTCATCTAAGGTCTGCTCACACATTGAAGCACATGGATACTCTTAATCCAAATGTAAGCGTCAACTTTTCTACTTCACAATGGGGTTCCTCAGAAGATGTGTTCAAGCAGCAGACGATGTGGCCTTCACGGCTTTCAGTTCTTGGAGATGTAATTTTGAATGAACGTGAAGTACGGACATTTGAAAGTGCTAGTACATTGTCACTGGCAACATTTACTTCCTTGCTGATCGAGTTTGTTGCAAGGCTTCAGAATCTAGTAGATGCATTTCAAGAGCTCAGTGAGAAGGCAAAATTTAAGGAATGCAACTGATAGAAAAGAGGCAGCTACTCTTTGAGGCAGGTTGTGTAACTGTTCCTGCTTTTTGGTTGAGGGGATCTTCTTTCTGCTGTCCAGTGTCACAGTGCTTTATTGCTCTACTGCCAGTAAAGAAGATGTTATCAACCAGAAACTAGGTTCAGGCTTGGAATGAAAACTTTTCTTATGAAGTTGAAGATGTTTTGAGACAATTATATATAATATACTAGTTTCTGGTCCACGCGCAACGCACCCAATGTCAATGAGTACAAAAATTATAAAATCACGTGAATAATATTTTCTTTAGAAGTTAAGGTAGAGTAGCTTATTGTGCTGACTACATTGTTGACAATAGTATCTCAGGCATTACATATATAAAGTAGAATGGAACATCAACTTCATTTTGTGTATTATTGGTACTGCGAAAGTGCATATTAGTTTAAATATAATCTTTAATGGCAATTAAGCTTATTACATTAGACGATTTATCTAAAGTTGTAACTATAGCTTTGCTCTATTTCATGTTAGTATGCTACTATTGCGCTTCACTCCCATAGAAACAACTACAATTTACTTTCCTGAGCGGAATTTTGTTGCAGATGCACCATTGTTGAAGTACATGGGCCAAAAATATCTAAGTTGAAGTACCACTAAGATCCAATCGTCAGCTGTGTTTGTACATGAGTACAAGGTTATGCTCTTCTTTCAACCAAATTATTGCCTAGCAAATGGAAAACACGACATTTTATTTGGCACGTGTGTCCCACGTGTGCAAGTACAAATCTTTTATAAGGATAGTGATAATATTAAAATGTGTATGTAATGAGTATAAAGTGTAAGAGTAAAATTACAAGCTCAACTGAAGAATGATTTTTCTATTTTATGAGTTGATTATTGGACTTCAATGTTTATATGTCGTCTGAACTTGAAAAGTAAAGCAGTTAATTTAGTTAGTTATGCAGTATAGATAATAATCTAATTACTTATGTTATTTTTTGCAAATATGTTATATGCTTGTATTGTAGGTAACACTTCCTTGTAGACGATGTTTTTGGTATATGTTCTATTTTTACGTGTCGATTGCTCTGTCATGACAAGAACTTTTGCTGTGGAAATTGATATCCCTCTTGAAAGTGCAGCATACAGTTGTCCATGCGAAAAAACATGTTGTGGCAAATACAAGCCAACATTGGGAATGGTTTGGCCTCGTGCTTTATTTATTGCCATGGCAAAGCAAAGACGTACTAGAAATTGCTTTCGAATGAACTTGAAAGGATATCCTTCATTTTCAGGGGTGAAAGCTGAATGTGTAGCATAAACACATGCTTTGTTTACACAATGACCGATCATAATTTCTGCATGTAAAACGTTGTTGTGAAAGCCTTTACATATCATTCTTGTTCCGTTACGTAAGCCATTTGAAGTGTCTAGATTCCTGAGTAGCATTATGGGTGCGTTCTCCTTCAATACTTTCCTGCATAAGAAACTAAAAGTTAAAATGAAAATCATTTTTTATTGCATGTTCCAGGTGTGTATGCTTGAGGTAAAAGAAAGAGAAATAGTGGAGGAACAAAATATATTTATAAATCATGATATATATGGTAAAATACCTATACAGGGGGAGATCATTGGGTGTTAAAGTGTTTAGATATTCTTCCCGGTAATAATTATTGGTGTCATCTTCTGCAGAGTCAAAACTAATAAATGTTTTGCTTTCAAAATATACTTCAAGTTGACAACTGAGCCGTCTATAATATCAGTGATTTTGACTTCTCTAGCTATTTGCATTAGTCTACTTGGCATTAAACTTATGCCTATCTTGCTTGCCTTCATATTGTCATTCTTGTATTGTAAAACTTCCTTTAGAATGTTCCATATACCTAACATATGTAGAGTAAATAAGTTAAAAGAGAAATTGACAATTTACCATTTGTTGAGATCTTTCGCCTTCTCAAATGTTGGGTAGATTAGCAGCTACTAACAGGTGTCGTCGAAAGGACAAAATCTCCTATTTAAAAAGGATCAGCGAATTTAGTGTTATATTAAGGCTGTCTAAAAAATTATGAAAATACATAAGGTATGAGGTGTTATACCTTGGAAAGTAGAGCTTTTAACATCACAGAAGGCTACTACTGACTTGGAATTTTCAATGTTCTCTAACAATTCCGCCTCAATTTCAGCTAAGTCTCCCCACAAAGTCAAAGTTTTCCTATCATACCTACATATTTAAAATTGAGTGTCTTAAAAATTACATTCTGCTTTTGCAGGTACTAAAGTTTAAAACATGAGTGGCGAATAACTGGTGGTAACTTACCTCTCGTTCGTAACTATTACTTCTCGCCTTTTGCTTCGTCCTTCTCCATTTAGTGCTTTCACTTTTATTACAATGCAAACCACATCTAAAAAAATGAATTATTAAATATTGAATAATTGCAGCTGCAAAATACTCAATAAATATATGTAGGTATTTACCAAATAAAATCTCATTAGTGAATTATTCTGACTCGTCCAAAGAAATAAAACCATTGGAGAATTGTTGATACATAAATTCAGTGTTGCATTGTATTACTTCTGTATTGCTATTAAATGCTACTTCGAGGTCCTTGTGCACAGATAAGAAGTTTGGTTTTGTGCCGCTTATCTTTCCATTTATAATGTAGTAGCTTTTTATTTTGGTCGAAAAAATTCTTCCATACTTGAACATCGTTGTTGAAAAGAGTAGTTTATATTTTTGTTCCCTGTGTCAATGCGGACAAGCAATAAAATCACCAAAGGAGGCAATGCATTGAGAATTGAACAAAAGAAACTATTAAAATAAAATTACCTCTTCATCAACGAATATTAGCTGCCAACGTACACCTTCACCATTCTCATTTTTGTATTCCTTTATTAAGCCTCGTGGAACGACTAAAACTTTAATTACCTATTCTGTAGCATATTTCTTCAACTTGCTAATAGGTATGCACAACTTTCCTAGCTCTTCTCCGTTTGCCATTATAAGTTATCCCGTAGTAGCTAGGAGAATAGAGGCAAACACAATATATTGTTGTAATGTAGAATTTTTTACCTATCGAATATATGTCCTTTAGAAGATGAAGCACCAAATGCAATATATAGTTGCGAATATATATCCTTTAGAAGATGAAGCACCAAATGCAATATATAGTTGCAAGACAAGAGTAATGCTCAAAGAAGCTACTGATTCTTGAGGTTTAATTGAAAAATCAAGCAACGTCAGCTGGTAAAATATATGAATATCTTAATAAAGTTTAAAGGTAATGACAAGAGTGTAGAATTATTACCAATTTTGTGATGCGGCAACCAAAAAGCCCGTAAAGAAAACTGTACCAGAAAGAATACAAGGATGATGGGACAAAGACACATTATTGTGCATTTATATAGAATGCTGGGAAGAATCTGAAAAAGCATGTAGAAGGAGTTATCATGGAAGATGAAAGAATAAAATATAAAGAGTGAAATTACTGCAAATAATAAGTAAAGGAATAATTTCTATTAGGGAAAAGAAACGGAAGAAATCAGCCATCAATGTCTTGGAAAAAAATTAGAGCACCAATTTTAGGGTGTTCTTCAAAAAGAACGTGGGGTTTAAAAACCAAATTAATGATTTCGGTAACTTTATTAAGAATTGAAACTGAAAGAAGCAGCCATCAATGTGCATATGATTTCAGTCACTTTATTGTTTATACGTTACCCAAACTCTTTTCTACGGATTCATCCTTTTTAATTAGGTCATGTAATTTAATGGTCATGTACTTATAATATTACTATTTCATATTTATTATATTAAATGTTTAATATTTTATTACATTTTATTTAAAAATAATTTACAATTGGGGCAAAATAGTAATTCAATTTTGCAGGAAGGAGCTTCCCACTTTTAGTATAACTAGTTTTAGCATACGCGTGTTGCGCGTGTCCCTCGTGTTAATGAAAAATAAAATTTTATATATAAAATAAATAATATTCAAAAATATGTTTATGTTATTATATAAAATTAAGAGTAGTTCTTCCTTAGGAGTTTGATCTAGTCTAATAGTTCTTCCTTCAGTTGTTTCTCTTGCTTGCTTTATTGTACAAAAAAAGTTATAGGAGTAGCGTTTGATTGAAGGGTAAAAATATCATTCAGTTTTACTTGAGGACTTGGGTACGNTTGAGGACTTGGGTACATACATTGCATGTATATTTCATGTTACTTATTAAAATTTTTATGTAAGATAGTTTACCAACAATTATTTTTTTTTATCTTTACTCATTTTACGGTACTGCTAAAGCTGTAACCTTATTCTATTGATAACTTAATAATCATATAGGCATCCGAACTCGATTATTATTAACAATTTTTATATTATTTTTTTTGCTCAATCATTATCTTATTTTACCTATAATTTCTTTCTAAAGTACTTTTACTCGCGACCAATTACATATATATGTTCTTTTTCTATTCCTATTTTTGTGTACAAAATATATATTGATCAACTTATTCTACCATTTAAAATAATGTCACATTTAAAAACGATTATCATTTGATTATTTCTTAATATTTAGACAATAAAAATGGACAAAACTTGTAAGTATATTTCAAATTCTACGTCCTTATTGTTAAAAGAAAATAGAATGTCACAATTGCTTTTTAAAGTCTAAATTCATGCCACCTTAATATGAATTATCATTAATGTTTTCATTTTTTTTAAATCAAAACTATGACTTAAATGCACTATTTCTTACGTGCCTTTTTAAACATTAGGCATAAAATTGATGGATCAGTTATTTACTTTAATTTTATTTAAACCACACGTTATTTACTTTTTTTCACAGAATATATATCCATGAAAGCAACATGTAAGAATTATAATTATGTGACATATATAATTCAAATAAGGAAAATATTTAAGTTAGATAAAGTTTTAATTGACTTTAAAGTCCTAAATTTTAGAGTTTCCTACCTAGTTCAATGGAAAATAATTTAATAACAAAAATTTTAGTCAATTTCAAAGAACTAAATATTAGGAGAATAATTAAATGACTATTTTGTCTAGTGTGAACTCTAATTTTAAAGGGTAAAAAAGGCGAACGACATTTCGCTAAGGGCCTTCGTGCTTTTAATATAGTATAGATATAATAAAATAATATGATATGATATGATATGATTAAGTTTTTTGTAGTTGTCAAGGAATTGGTTTCTGTTCTGCAGCATGTTTTCAGAGCCTGTAGGAGCTGTGAATCCAAGAGAAAAAGATTTCCTTACCCAAAAGATTATGTATCTTTCTGTACATTAATTTTTTTACTTGTTTCCGATGAAGCTGTAAAGCATTGAAGATTTTTAAAGATCATTAGCTGGATAATATGGCCTTGTCATAATATGCAGAGTGCATCCCTAGAAAATTCTTTG